TGCTTTGAGTACTTAACAGTCGATATATCAAAGCCCAAATACCGAAACCTGTGGTAAAGTATATTTTGCTCAGCTTGTGAGCAGAATGAAAAATAAATGCGAAGAGAGAAGAAGGTTTATATAAACAAATATAACAGATTTTTTATAAAATATTCAAAGTATGGTATTTGTTTTCATTATGAAGATGAAACATTTTAACTGATATCCAAGCAAAAATAATAAAAGTAATGCACACACACACACACACACACACACACACACACACACACACACACACACACACACACACACACACAAGCACAGAAGAAAACACAGTAGCGACAGTCTGCTTCATGCTTGGATACAATCTTGAAAATTATATATATATATATATATATATATATATATATTGAACAATAAAAAATATTAAAAAAATTAAAAATCTTCAGACACACTGGGTTGTATATTAATATTCTTTCGTTTTTATTATTATTTCATTTAGATTCCTCAACTAGTTTCGGCCAACATGGCCATCATCAGGAGAAAAAAAATTCTGCTTGCTGTTAGCAGTGAACTACAGAAATGAATGTCTTGATGGAGAAAATGAACTTTTGTCTGTAGATTTCATTTGTTTTTCTATTTTTTAATATGAATTTTAGTCAGTCCTTGCGTTGGTTAAAAATTCTCTTTTAAGTTGTTGTTTGAGATATGAGCTGGATGGATTAATTTAGACAGTTTTATTGGTTCCTGGAAAGGGGATGTCTCTCTGTTAAGCGTGTGTGTGTTATTCGCTTCTTAGGGAATAAATCAGTATGATGTGTGTCAGTGTGTATATCACTATGGGTGTGTGTTATCATTTGGCTCCTTATATATATATATATATATATATATATATATTATGAAATGGATTTATGTTGACAATTATTTTAATATATTTTCTGTTTATACATTAATTTTGATAGATGCAATCATTTAAGTAAATGCTCCGTTTATAGTAAACAGTATTAATTACAATTACCAACCTGAATGTCCGAGATATTTCGCAGAAAATATATGATCTTTCGAGAAAAATCGTGGGAATTTGACTGTGCCTAGCAGACGTTTCCACTGTAGCTAAGTTTTATAGGGCGTAGGGTACAGATTCGGTTCCTGTCGGGGGACACTTATTTTCCACGAAGGTCCTCTTCAACAAAATGACACCATAAACAGTTTGAAAAATCCTGTGAATTTTAAATTTTAAATTTGAGGGTGAATATGATCATTCACTAATGGTATCTTAATTCAATGGTATGAAATATATATATATTGAAAATATTAGTGGTCAATATACATCTATCTATACATACATATATATATATATATATATATATATATATATATATATATATATATATATATATATATAAATATATATAAAAATAGATAAACATATATTTTATAAACATATATATCTATATAAATAAATTTCTAAGAGGATAGAATCCAGGTAGAACTCAATGTCCAGTACAGAGTAAGAATATAATAAAAAAGGCTCAATCACTATTATTTCATGGTTATAATTTATTACATTGGAATCGTAATCACGATCCAATTCATCAGACCTACAAATTCAAATATTCAAATCGACCACTCGTCTGTGCATTGAATAATGTTGCCATGTCTGATCTGATATTGCTGTTATTCATCTTGACAAACTCTAAAGAAGGATCTAAAATGTAATCGATCCTGACTTGTCATCTCAACTACAGTCTCCTCACCGACGTGATGTGACTTCCCCCTGTTTTTTCTACAAATAATTTCATGGCAGCTACTCTGGTGAGCTTTTTTCTTTGGTGCCTCGATTACATGAATTTAAACGTTTTAAAAGCAGTTGGATTAGCATCTAGGTCCCACCCTTTTACTGTTGAAATTTTCAATTTATCGCCATTTCTACTCCAGCAGTTTATTTTCTCGTACTTCCCGCCTATGGAAGTCCCTTCTTATTTCTTGCTTCCCTGATAACTACAATCTTTAAAAATTTTAATGCAAAAATCAATCGCCATCTTCTATCTTCTTAAATTTCGTTCATGTTTTATCAGTTTCTCAAACCTCACTATAACCAGTCACTTCTCTAACTTTCACTCTCTGCATCCCCCCCACCTGCTTAGGGCGAAATTTAAAAAAAAATGTTGATTGGAATGATTGTCAAAACATCGGCCAATTTATTCAAATTTTATAAAATGTTAAATAATAAGTATTTCTTTATAATTGGTTCACAAAGTTTAATAATTTAGTATTGGGTTGGTGCATAATTATCAGGCGTTTTTTAAACAATATTTTCTATGAAAAAAGAAACATAACAATTCAACAATAAGATTTTTAAATCATTATTCTGGAACGTACGATTATTGAAAAGCATTTTAAAACCTGAAAATAAAATAATATTTTTATTAAAAAAAAGCAAACAAAACAGCAATAACGCGCCTACAAAACACCTGATAATTATGCACCAACCCAATAAATATATGTAGATTTATGAATGAAAATTGTTTTCACATTTATTTCTTTATAAATTGGTAAATGATAATTTTTTCATTGCATTAGTCTTAACTATATTATTTTTTTTAAATGTTGTAAATATAAAATTATTCTTCTTAATAAACAATCTAATAAATAAATATACTAATAATGCTTAATATTTTTGCTGTAAATTCTCAAGAACAAAAACAAATGTGTAAATTCACTTTCGTCATATGTTTAGGTTTTATTACAATCATCGCTTTTTAAAACAATAAACACGACCATAGACTGAATGTAGTTAAAAAAGCGGTGTCAATGGAAAAACTGTCCTCTTGTCACTATGTCTTATTGAAGGCACTTTTGTCCATGTTTGCTGAAAGAATATATTACTCATCGTAAATTGGTACATAACAAATATAACAACAACAAGGAAATAAATAACAAAAAGTTATAACCTGTTGTTACCAGTCGCTCTTCAGGGCCAATCCAGGACAAAAACATATACATATGTGCACAACGACTGAAAAGGTCGAAACATTCTACCAGCGAATCTGTAGAATAAATCAAATACAGATTACATTTAAAGTCAGCTTCTACTTGCAGAAGGAAGGCTGCTTAGACTTAATATAAATGACCTAAGAAATTCTTATATAGTAATCCGAATGCGCTCTGCTGATTATGGTAATAAAAATAATGTTGAAAGTCGCGGCACAAATTGGAATATTTATTAAATGTTCTGCAATCGCAGAACCGGATATATTGACAAGTGCATGCAAATTTCCATATTGCCTTCGACGGATCTTAGTTTTTCCGCCTTTGTTCGGTATATTTTTGCATATATTTACGTATACTTTTGAAATATTTGTTTTTAAAGCACTAATATTTTTTAAACTGCCAACAGATTATAGATGCAAGAGGGGCGTTCCTAAAAGTATGCCTCTTACCTTTATTATGTTGACCTACGACGTATGAGGCGAAAGGTATACAGTCGCACTAGTTGAACCTTCCAGCCGATAACCCATGCATTTTATTTTGGCTTGTTACATAGAAGAACAGTTCTGCAACAAGAAGTCTGACATGACATGAAGCAGAGGCGTGTTATTGAATTGCTCTGTCCAGAAAATTAACCGCACGAATTGACAATTTATCGACGCTTGCCGAATATTTAACAAACTGTGAACGTAGGTACTGTTAGGCGGCGGGGAATGTATTTCACCGGCGGTGACAGCAATGCGTGTGACAGGCCACGTTCCGTGCGGCCCCGAGAAGCTGTCATCCAACGAAATGTAGGCTCTTCTTCATCACTGGCAACGATGCAGAGAAAGTGGTGGTGATGATGGGAAAAAGAGTGCTTGGTAGGAGAAAATTAGATCTATCTATTGGACTTTTTTTTTTTTTTCTGTTGTAGCTTCCGCGGAAAAAAAAAACCCCAAAAACCGTGATCTTTCTTTCAGAGCATAATTCGTGTATCTCTAAATACTTTTCCGGGCGACGAAAACACACACACACACACACACACACACACACACACACACACACACACACACACACACACACACACACACACGAACAGACACACACACACACACGCACACACAAACACACACACGAACACACACACACACACAAACACACACACACGAACACACACACACACACACACACGAACACACACACACACATATATATATATATATATATGTGTGTGTGTGTGATTAGTAGGGATAATTCCTAGGGGGATATAAATACAAAGAGAGCTCAATGTAAGAACAGAGCAATATAATAATAAATACAGAATCTTAAAAATCCATCAGGTCAGGTTATTACTTATTTCGTAGACTTCAGACGTCCATCTGTTCTGACCAGTATTACAAAAATAAATGGAGTTCAATTTATTCAGACACAAGGAAAAGGAAAAGAAGAAAAAAAGAGAGAGATAGAAAGGAAAAAAAGCCGAGTACTCCTGCTTGTGTGGCATGGTGAAAAGTCCTATTGCCAGAAATAGGGTCTTCCAGTAGCCACACTCTTGACCGAGGTTAGAATTATCTCCTCCAGGCACTGGATATAGGCATATTCTGAGACCCTCACCAACAAATTCGGGTGTTCTTTTTATCCGAACGATCAGAGTGAGTTCTCCGAGCTGTTGTAGCATCATAATCACAATTAAACTCATACAACTCTTTCCGAATCCTCTGCAATGACCTCAGATTGGCAGCCAAACACTGAAATGGTTTGATGAGCAAATACACTTGATGAACAAATTATACTTCACGTATAAAACATTTTGATTGATTCGTTTTCTAAATATATTCCGACTGTAAAAATGTTTCGTCAGTGGATACAATAATGGTTTTTGTATATATTTAATTAGCCCATAGGTGGGAGCAAAGGAGATGGTTTCATGCCTTCCCCAAGAGCATTTGCTCGTAAGTGAATATAACGAACCCAACAGGAATTGGAGCTCGGCTCTACGATGAACAATTCCGACCCATTATTCATTATACCAACTGCACATCCAAGCGTACACTACATAGTTTTCCAAAGCAGTCACCCATCGAAGTACTGAACAGGATTGACATTGCTTAACTTTGGTGATTGTACGGAAACCGGTGTTTCAACGTGATCTGGACGTAAACCACATAAAAAAATAGCGCTGTTGAAATGTATATATGGTTCTACACGGTGTAGTGCATATATATATATACTTTACAATTGGAAGTACGATACCTTTAGTATTGATTTTCTAAGAGTAGCTTAGATGTAGCGAATGGCCGAAGGTATGGGACACCCAATGAGGATCGAACTCACTACACAGGCGTAATTGTTTTAGCGAGACAAACGTGATAACCATTACGCCACGCCGGAGTGCTCAGTGACTTTCAAAGCGTAGCTTAGATGTGGAACAAAGCCAAAAGTATGGAGCACCCAGTGAGGATCGAGCTCATTACTTTGTCGTAACTGTTATAGCGTGACCAGCTTGCTAACCTTTACACCATCTCGAGGCACCCATACGATGCCTTTAATAAATGAACATTTTCACCTATGAATTTTAATTTTAAAATTCGCTGGATTTTATAATAGCTATATATTAGGTTGGTGCAAAAATAATGACGTAAGAATGTCGTTTTTAACGTAGAAAAGTACGTCAAAAAACGACATTATTACCTTATTTGCCAAATCACATATATATATATATATATATATCCTCACTTCTTTTCGAGGTTAGAACAGTATATGCATGTATATATATATACATATATCTCATAACAGTATATGCATGTATATATATATACATATATATATACTACACTATGTAGAAACATTTCAATATATATATATATATATATATATATATATATATATATATATATATATATATATATTTTTTTCACACACGTACATATAGACTTTTATATATATATATATATATATATATATATATATATATATATATATATATATATATATATATATATATATATAAATATATATCTGTATATCCCGTTGAGAGTTATTGTTTTTCCTCAATATTTCAATATACATATAATTTTACGAGAAATATACTTTCAAAATAACGAAGTTTTTGTTTGTCTCTTTGCGCCATAAAATAAATCAAGTTTGGTTATTGTCTGTTGTGACAGCGATTATATTGAGGATTATATAAAAACTTGTATTAAAATCCATGAACGCAGGCTTCCAGACAACATTTGCTTCAGATACGTAAACAAATTTGGTATTTAAATACGGAATATACGTAAGACAATGATTTTTTTTTTCTTAATACTTTCTATTGATTTTTTTTTCTCATTTACTGTTTTTTTTTCTCCTCTTTTCCGATTATCACTCACACATACATAGAATATTGAGATGGTTTCATTGGAGCCTTCCCTTAATAATTGCTGTTTCCCAGGTCCACCCCTGACCCGGGTGGTAGCATTTAGCTCGTAAATAGTTAAACCCCAAATTGGGTTCAAAACATTATGAAAGAATAAAAATAGATTTTTATCGTAAACCGCAAAAATACCAGAATATATTTTTTGAAAAAAATACCAGTAATGCATTTTTGAAAAAAAATTACCATCAATACATTTTTGAAAAAAAAATTGCCATCAATACATTTTTGAAAAAAATATTGCCATTAATACATTTTTGAAAAAAAAAATATTGCCATGAATATATTTTTCAAAAGAACAATTAGCCATCAATGCATTTTTGAAAAAAATGTTGCCATCAATGCATTTTTGAAGAAAAAATATTGCCCCAATGCATTTTGAAATATATTCATTATCACCAACTTCGTCTCGCAGAGTTGTCTACCAAAATGAAATACGCACTACATAGTTTTGCGTTGGCTGCATCCGGTAGCAGTGGCTGCACCAAAATAATGGATTATTTGTATATTGAACAGGATTTCAAGATAACGTCTCCTGTGGGGAAATATATTTTATTTAATGTGGGTTGTTTAATGTATAAGGTTGTTGCATGGATGCGAATTACCGGTGTTTCAACGTGACACGTCTGGACGTAAACCACTGCTTGAAACTTGAATATATATATAAAAAATATATATATATATATATGTTATATATAAATATTAGTGGTAAATATACATACATATGTATAAATGGTTTTTGAATAAAAATTCCAAGAGGAAGAATCAGGTAAACTCAATGTCAGGACAGAGTAAGGATAATAAAAGTGGTCATAATTTATTCCATTGGAATCGTAAATACGATCATATATATAAAAAGAAAACAGAAAAAAACAACGGAAATAAAACAAATTTAGAGAGAGTGTAAGAAGGACGATACCTTTTAGTAAGAGAAAAATGAATGTTGTCGGATGTCTAATTGATTTTCTGTTAGAATAAGAGGGAGGGAAAAGACGAGGTGGGAGAGAGATGGAACGAAGGGATGTAGGCCGTTTCGAATGTGCCGGTTTTGGTATTATAACAGGGACAATCACCATCACAACGAAAAAAGCAGATTTTATCCCCTGAGGATGAT